CGATGTATTAGTAGCATTTCAATGATTATGCAAACTTAAAATTACTAGTAACAGTTTTCGCTTTTGTCCAGAAGCATACATGTTATACCAACCGCCCTCGGCACGCTTGATTCGTAAAAACCACCTGCTACTGCCACTGGTATGAATAAGAAAAACAAAATCATGCATCAGTATTCCGGAAATCCCAGACTCCCAGTCATGGACAATGGTCGTTGCTTTATGCTAAAAATTGTTTGACAATAAATGCATGCGACATCTGCGGCGAAAGTGGGCACGGTTAGGTTACCGCAGATTTCTTTTTCACCAAGATTTCCGTAGCGAGTACTACTTTCGTTGGTAAAATCATAAGGTTTTAATCGCTTTAAGGACTAAAACGTACGGCGGACGTCTTGGTCGGCCGGACGCTATGGTCGGTTACACACGTCATACAAGTACAGTACAGATAGGAAAAACCTGAATACCAAAGGGCACAAAATCACAGCAACACAAATCGTGGCTGCTGCAGCGACTGACGTTGTTAAGTTTGATGCTAGCTGTCGACTGCAGTGCTCACTGCTCAGCATGCGCTCATGTGCTGCCAGCTGCGTGTAGTGAGATCCGACCAGCCGCGAGAACAAGGCTACTGTCCGGTGCCGAGATGAGCTATCGCTCATCATTTGCCGATTTGCGATAAGCTGCCGGTTGGTGCTCAAATTCTGGTTGACATCCAGGGACACTGGGTCCCAGCGATTTGCGATAAGCTGCCGGTTGGTGCTCAAACTCTGGTTGACATGACCCAGGGACACTGGGTCCTGCGCTCGTGAGCGATGTTGCCTCTTTCACCGTGCGAAAAGTTCATGCGTGTAAGGATCGGCCCACGGGCAGACCAACGCAGACCAAATTTTCCCTTCCACTATGAAGTTCTTGCATAATCTTGCTTTGGCTAGCAACGTTACAAAAACCATGGTGCATGGCAGGACATTCCAACCTTCACACCGCATTAATTAACCCAGCTGTTTGCATTACGTATTAATTGGTGTAAATGTGCGCTCGCGTATTGACACATTACGTATCGACATGCCTCATTGAAAATAATAAATCATATTACTCTGCTAATTTAGCAATCTTCCTTTGTGTACATGAACGCGTGTGGAAAAAGTTTAATCTGCTTTATTCACCAGCTCCCACGGTCAGTAATGTTACACTAAGTTATTAACATTGGCATCGTGTACACAATCGACACTGGTGATATCCAGATCAGTACCATCCACCGTGACTTTGTCAGACCGATAATTACCTATGACGGCCACCTCACCTTCCATCCGGCTCTGCGTTAGAAAGGGTCGCTGCCGGAAGTAATCCTGCAGCCAGGCGAAAGACTGGGCACAGCGAAGTCTATACACTGTATTCGCAAGCTTGTCGGCTTCTGTTTCGTGACCGGAACGACGCCTAGGGGTTCGTTTTGGTCGCTTTCTATTAGATAACGATTAATTCCTCTCTCTAAAATCAGACTTTGCAGATCTTGTAAACTTTCGAAGGTGCCCGCGTCGATATTCTGTATGGAACATGTGTTGAAGATAACCATGCGCACACGCGGAAGTCTAGAGAAATCTTGCCACCGGATGACCAAGTCGGTTCCGTATCCGATTTCTAACTGAACCAGGTTCGGCAAGATATGAAGGTCATACAACTTGGAAGTGACGGTTTGTGTTCCGCATTTGTGGATAGTGATCTCGATGATTTGCTGACGAATGGGATCCACTACTTCTGGGTGCAGTGGATCTTGAGTTTCATTGCGTTCGATTAGTTCCACGACGATCGCGCGGTTCGGACTCAATTTGACGATGGCTCTTGCGTATGCAGCAAGAGCATCACGGGTTCCCCCGCTCCAGCAGTTCAGTGAATAAAACGTCTTTGAGAGTTGACTGTATTGAGGTTCGGCTGACGGATCGCAGTGCGGCGTAAAAAACCCATCGCCGCAAGAAACGTTGCGGTATTCAAGACATTCTGCCATGGTTAAATTATCACTACGAAAAGGGAAGGTTATTTCGTTTACCGGTTGTGGGGAATTTTGAACTCCATATGCAGGATGATGTGAAAGAATGAACGGCAAAAATACTACCCAGAGCTTTTTCGTAGCGGTTTTGGTATAGTCTTCCGGAAATTTGAGCGTGCAATTAACTTTCTGAGGCATGTTTAATAACTTCGGTCAGAAATAATTTCAAATTAAACCGGGTTATTTATAAAACCGTTTTTATCGCATAAAAACTGCAAGCACGTAATTTAGAAATATGAATAAAAAATTTATGAACACACATTTGGTTTCAATTTCAGCATTTTAAGCCCATTCCGCTTTTATGAATATTAATAGGTAAAAGAGATTCTCAGATTCCTTCGACGTGATAATGTCTTGTGCCTACGTTGCATCGGATAAAACAGTGATTTAATCAGATTTAGCAATGTCAGTAAACATGCTTCTATCTTCAGTATAATCTACGCTCGGAAGTGGATATTTTAAATGGGAAATAACCATTTGTTTTTGTTGACTTTTATTAATATACCGGCGATCCGGCGTCAAGTCTGTTCATCTGTGAGATATACAGAATATTAACGGATTCATAGAAAACACCCATAATCAAAGCACGGCATTAAAATAACCTTCACATACTGTACATGTTTGTCCAAACAAAAAATAATTACCTATCACAATACCAAATCAGTAGCGTTCGAAAATCATATAAATGCACAATGGATTCGGTTCGCAGGACACCGATTTACAACGTTACTTGACGAATTGGCTTCACTGTTACACCCTTCATGAAAACGCTCCCCGATTCTTCTTGTAATTCCACGGCACCAGCACCACGTTGTTGTGGGGTAGCGCCTTCACCAGCGGCGAATCAAAACGCGCATCCACCCGTAATCCGGCCCGGGTGACGCTTAACTGGACGTAATCATCTCCGCCCAATCCCTCCGCCAGTTTATTGCTAACATCGATCACGGCCACCAGCAGTCCGTAGAAGCGCGACGACGAGCGCGGGTGGTAGCCGTCAACGTCGACGCGAATCTGGCGGACCAACGGATTGGGGAACTTGCGCTTCATCTGGTGGATGGCGTCCTCCACGGCGCGGCTCATGGCGCCGTTGTCGGCTTGGAAGTAAATCACATTGGGGCTCGACGTCGGGACACTGTCCTCTTTCAGTTCGGAATTTGGATCGTTGCGGCATTTGATGTCGATTAGGCGGTATGGCTGCGGATTGTTGGGATCGTAGACGCTGTAGTTGCAGTAACGGTTTAACGGGTTTGAGGGTTCCGGAAGGGGCGCGAAGGTTACCGGGGCGTGGGTGGTGGTGCGGCGTGCAACGGCGCAATGCACCAGAAACAGAACAAAAACACCGTATAAAAATGACGGCATGTTTCTCTTTATTGATCGAAAGCTAAAGTATTTGAAAGGTGCAAAAACACGTAGCGTTAACTCGTTTTATGCGTAGAAGTAAAATGATACAAGTGCTATGATCTGTCTACTAGCTATTTATACAGATGCGAAAAATTCCACTGCACCAAGAAAAACAAGATAAGATCTTTTGCCTTCGGAAATTTGATTACATGAGCGTCGTAAACAGTGAATGAGCTGTCCGAACTTTGCGGTTGTTTTGCGCTTTGCTGTGCATCTGCCTGCTTGTGCACAGGTGATTCAGCCGGCGTAACGAACAATTACGAGCTGTGCTGCTGAATGTTTGCCGCGAAAATGTTGCCGGCTTCCGCTAAATCCTCTTTTATGTACTCGCAGTCTCGCATGTATCCGTAACTGGCACGTAAAAAAGATAACAAAAAAAGTTCGTTTGAATTAACGAATCAACTGCTGAAGGTGATCGTTGCTACTTTAAATACAAACTACCGGAAATTAGTAATGTGGGCAATATTTGAATACGCGGCTAAAAAAGCGTCCCAGTCACCGCTTGCGCACGTAATGTAGGGGACGATCCTAAAAATTAGTGCATTACAAGTTATCATACGTATTATTGTACGTATATATCTATATCTATTATACATTTGTCAAGTACGTATATACCGGTAACAGCCACAGGTAAGTAATTTAAGGTGATTTAAGTTGCTGCCTTGAAATTTACATAATGGGTGGCACATCCTAGCCCACACAGATTGTGTGCTGTGTAGTGTGTAGGGATAGCAGAACCCGCTTACATTAGCCCATGCATCTGCAACGTGCAGTGAACACGCTACCCGCGTACAGTTTTCCCGTACACACACTCTGTGGTTTAAATTGTGTCATTACAATACTGCCATTACAGTATTGCCAAGTAATGCCCTGCCTTAATCTTTTTTTATTTTTCTACTGAATACCAAATTCGCAGTTATGCTCATATGACAGAGTGTAGTGTACTACGAAATTACAGATACAACATTTCCCGGGTTAAGCGAACGGGTAATTTGTTTACGGTTTGTAAAGAGGTCATACTTCCTTCTACGCTAATGTTTTGATCAACAGCTGACGTTGAATGTTCTCCGTTGCGGTCAGGGACCACGAGTACTCAGTCCGTTAGCCACCCCGGTCGGAAATGGCTACGCACGCTGGGGTCACTGCGTGGGAGGATGTGTATCAATACCGGTGAAGGTTAAATGAGCCGCACCAGTTGGTTCGCACGGATACACAGAATACGTTCATAGAATGATGATTTGCGTTATAAAGAACGGATATACGGTACATCAACAAATTAATCAGCAGAAACTATTTTGCAATCCATCACAAAAATTTTTAATAGAGTTAGAAGGTTAGGTTACGTATTGCATTGCGTACGACGTAAAGGTCATTTACGTGCAAACCAATCCATGCATCAGTTTTCGGATCAATCCAAATACACACTAAATATTTTTTGTACAATATATACTTGCAAGTTTTTCTGTCATTTATTTACGTCACAGTAACAGATATAAAAAGGCACTATAGTACGTGGTTTGATTATACAACTGAAAAGCATTTTAAGTGAAGTAACAAATGTGTGTACTGAACTTGTAGTCATAGTAAACACTTTTAATTAAGCTTAATAAAACAGTTTACGCCATCGACAGATTGTGATTCTGCGTCGTCGGTGAGTTACTCTTCACCAGTGCGTGATTGATCGGCGACAAATGTACACCACCACGTGATTTGTGGCAGAGTCCGCTACAGCTGTGACCTTTCCTTGGCGGCACATTCCCAATGATAAACACAGCCGATGGTTTGCTCGGCCCGTCGACAAGAATATGGATGGAATTCCTGTGAGCATGATGATTTATTTTATCCCGCAGATTCTTCCATTCACTGTGCGCCACTTGCCGCATCTCCGTGCTGAGCAACGTGTACACAATAGGTGTCGTTGCACAACCTGTACATTTCCCATATGCATGAACATTTCATCAGTGCTTTGAATGATTTACTGCTTCGCAAATTTCGGGAATTCTGTACAATTTTTTATTGATAAAACATTCATGTTGTACTGCATCTCAGTAGGGATGTGCTCGTAATCAAAGTGTTTATGAGAAAACGACGTCGAGTCACAACAGAGGAAGAGGATTTTAGGTTACAAAACAAACTGCGGTGACCTATCGCGTGTCTAATTACGGGGATGATATGTAACGCGTAATTATCGTCTACCCAGTAGTGTGTGTAGTGTACTACTTACCGATCCAGGTCATTAGGATGAGAAACTGTGCAAATGCGGACTGCATTTCTGACACTTTGGTGGCGATGAGTCCATGTATGGCACTGTAAAATTTATGCCGATTTAGATTGACGAATTAATGTCGAATTTGTCATTCATCACTCAGCAAAGGCGAAATTAATGTTATCGTGCACGGGTCATTCAGTGCACGGTACGAGTAGGATTTTAAGAATTCTCAAATAAACTTCTTAACGGAAGTATCTATTAAAAGATAACAATCAACGAATAAATCAATTATTTTTTCAGAGCACCGGAATATTATTAATGTCAGTTTTGTAACAGTATACGGTACACTACATAATTATTACGGTACCGAAATCCATCAATTATGTATTTAAATAAATGCTCATTGGCTAATAAATTTTAGTTCTGCCGCCTACGTTGCAAAACGCCGCATTAATTACTAATAATAGGCATATCTCCATTAATAATTAATTACTCATACGTTGGTGTCTTAATATCTCACGTTAGCACCGGTACGTTATGAATTAATAAGAGATGCCGGTTTCGTCTGTACATCTGTGAACTGCATATGACGCATTTACTATGTAGTACCCGCTAAACCATTATAGCTCCCACTGACAACACACTCTGGACTTGGCACCTTGAAATCTTAAAATATTAAAATTACGTATAAATTAATAAAAAATGTCGGTTTATTCTATAAATGAACGGGCTGATGACGTATGTACTCAGCAAACAATGCTTGTCATCCATGATTCAAACCGCGCACATTGTCAATCGTTTCTGCGCGTGACAAACTACAAAACACAACAGTCTACCGTGTCCCGCCCACCGTTAGCGTACCTGGGAATGTAGCAGATAATGAACCAGGCGCAGGTAATGAAGGCAATCCGTGTCACCCGGAACTCGGCCTTCAGCCGCATCAGACGGATCCCGCGAGCGCCCTGCCCGCGGATTGCCTGATCATCCAGGTTGAATTTCGTTTTGGAGCGAATAACCACGGCGCAGATGATCAGGTAGCAGACGGTCATAACGGCCAGCGGCACGAAGGAGTTCATCAGCTTTAGAACGTACGTATATTCGGGGGATTTGACGGACATGATGCTGCAGCGTGATGCCACCTGTAAATGCGGAAATATCACGATAAATTAGTCGTTTTACTGTGAAAACTTTTAGAAACTCGATACACATATTAAAGGGCAAAAGAGATTACATAACATCCGTCACATAAATAAGGGGACTTAGTAATCTCTTTTCAAGCGCTTACGAACACGCGATGACTACTTTGTCTTAATAATAATAGGCAGATATAAATCAAACAATTTTTAAATTTACAAAATGCGTAGTATAAGTTGATTATTAAACTAACACTTGATTTTTATATAATTAAACATCTACTTCTTTTTATCAAAATAATTTCAGAAACGATTGTGAAAAAAAGCCAAGCTGGAGAAAACAGACGCTTTTGATTTGTAAATTATTAAGCATGACATACAGCATTTATAGATAGCTTTTTGTAAGCTCAAGTTTAACGCGTTTACAGCTTTATTTATAGTTTAACGCGTTCACGTTTACAGTTTACAAGTTTATTTCTCGATAAATGATGTTCCAGCCATCGTTCGTTGTAAATATTCATGCACATTTAATATGTAAAATCGATTAATTTACTCCGTTACCGCTTCTTTCAACAACCTAGCTTATTAAATTTCTGTCCAGTACGGTCCGACTGACGTAACCCGGAAGAATCTACTTAATTAATTTCACCGGGTGTGTTCGTTTACCTGTGAGAAGCCGTATTCGCCGCTGACCGGCACTAGCGGAAAGACCAGCACTAAAAACGGCACCAGCCACGTGTAGATGACCAGCGACGTGGCGACACTCTTGGTGTGCAGCAGACACATGGTGCAGTCGCTGGATAGGACCGCAATTAGCCGGTGGATGGCGATCGCCGCATGGGAGTGGGCGGAAACGCTTAACCTGTGGGCAAAGCGTCAACACTACACTACGGGCACAATATGCAGCTATTCTCGTATATCCGCTCATCCTGACTTCCGTAAACACTTCTCAGCTGAATAGCGGGGTGTCAATTAAACATGTAAGCGCTGCGGGATTAATACATGAGTGCCTATACACTATGCAGTGGGTTACGCGTTCAGGTGCGGAGACAGTTGGAGTATTGATCCGCCCCGACGATGCACCGTGAGGTTGTTATGAAACTTGCTCGCTTTCCGTAAATATGTGCTATTTGCGTATTTTAATGCGGTTGTTTTGTTGCATTTTCGAGTATTTTTAATAGTGTACCGCATAATCATCCCATTACTGGGTTAAGCCATGAAATTTCCAATAAATTATTCAGATGTTTTGATTCGCATTTGCTGTATAAAAGTTTTACTAGAGTCTTTCACAACCGATCACGATTAATATTGACACCTGAATAAAGCTACTTTAATGCTTTAGTGAATGGTAAATTTAACCCGGATTCCTTAAAAAGAGATAACAAAACAGTAAAAAAATACTGAAGTTCTTCTTTATTTAGGTAACCACATTTACGACAGCAGATGTAAACTAAACATGCATCATAAAGTACTTTGTATACTAGGCTATTTCAAAACCTGTTTCAAAGTTAAAAGGATGAACTTCATTTGGTACATAATTGACCATACCTTTAATATATTTAGAAAACTAATCTCGGAATTGGTATAAATTTTGAAAAGGTAAGTTTTCAGTACAGGCTGTAATTTATATGACAAAAGTTTGATGCAGTTGCGGAGTCAAACAGCAAGCGTTTACAATTAAATTGTAATAAGACCCGGTTGTGCAAGAACTAGTTTAATCTGCAACAACTATCGTTTAACTACGATTAGGCACCGCAGCAAATTACGCACAGTTGTATTACTTCCGCTTACCACAAAAAGTGTAGAAAAGCAAACACCACACAGCATATCCGCGACGGTCCCTCCTGGCCGGTGATCATGGTGAAGGCGTCATAAAACGAGCTGGTGCCGCACAGCAGGAAGGTGGCCACACACAGATTGATAATCAGGGCGTTTGTCGCGAAATTCTGCCGACTCAGTCGGCTGAGTAAATACAACGTCAACAGACTCCCCATCGTCCCGATGATACTCGTCGGGATGGTCAGTATCCCGATGGTGATAAAATGCGACGCGTTCTCCTTCATGGACACCGTCATGGCGTCATCCGTGGATGTATTCAAAAGCGGTGACCTTGTGCTTTGCTGTTCCATGTTGCGGGTGACGAATATCGAAGCGTTTTGAAATTTAATTACAACCGCCATCTTGCGCGCAACAAAAATACTTTTATCCGCCTTCGTTATTTTGAATACAGCTCGGTTTACATACTCAGTTATCGTTAGAAAATAAAGATTTGATAAAAATCACGGTTAGCAGCGCATCTGTGTGAGTCAGCATAACGTTGTGATCAATCGACAGAGGCGACTGTGGATGGGATGTAATTAACCCAAGGTAATCCCAACCAGCAAACTGCGTCTAGCGCACGAAACCGCGGATTAACGAGCGGGTAATTGGCTCACTTAGCAGCGGTGCATACGCGTTATACTCAAAACGCGGAAGTTAGGCAACATAGGGAAACTCCCGTATATACTCATAACGGGAAAACGGTTTCCAGGAAGATTACCGGCTTATCCCGCAGTGGACGATCCGACAAGGAATACTAATTATGATGGATTAAAAGTGTGGAGCACTGTTGACAGTAAGAACAACGTGCGTAAAAGTTTATGGAACAACGACATAGATAGAGAAAGGTTACAATTTGTGGTCGGCGTTGTGGGCGCTTAATACAGCGCTTTTGACGAGGTCCAACGTTGCGTGATGTGGGTATTGTTCAGCAGGAAGATGGTGAAGTGTGAAAAGACCGATCAACTGCGCGGAGGGAGCGGGGAAACCGGGAAGCAAACCGTGTACTTGTAGTCTATAGAGATTTATAGTGGGTTAGCGCGCCGGTTGCATCGAACATGACGTGATCTTATTCTTGCGCTCGCGTGGAAGACTGGAAGTGCACTAATGTAACGTGCGACAGCAACGTGTGTACATACGTGCAATGACAGCAGTACCGAATTCCAGTGGTTTTAAGCTGTTGTCTGTAAATACCTAATTACTAAACTACTCCGATTTATGCAAATTAATTTCTACAACTTGTCCACTGTGTGCGATAAATGATATATGTATAACAATATTGTACCAGATCTCGTTTCAGATACTTGTTATCTGCTCCACTGTGTATGCGTTGCTGCATTTGATTTGCAAAACAACAAAAACTTATAGATAGCTATATTCATGAGATACATAAAAAATTCATAAACATTACTTATATTTTAAATTAATTGGTATGTTCCGGCATACTGCTGATGCAATACTTCGGCTTTTATTATACCGTATTTTGCTCACTTTAAAGTTTACGTTTCCAAATCTTGCACACCAGGTTTTAAAGTCACATTACTGAATTAATATTAGCCTTACAGAAATGATTTCTTTCATAGTGAAAGCTTCCTGTATCACTTTTGAAGATCGAAAATCAAGAAATGTTCATGAAAACACAAAAGGAACTACTTCAAGTGAACCAGATGCAATGGAGAAGAACAGACGTTCCACGCATTCTACAGACGCAGTTTCAACAGTTTTAGTTTGCAACAAATTCGGTTTGCTTTGAGCATACGGAGCGGCAAAAAGCCAGGTCAAAAGGCGCAAATCGTGAGAACAACAGTTGTTCATATAGATGCCGCATGGGAGATGGATCCCGTGGTGCTGGTGACCGGTGAACAACAAATGAAATCGTAATATAGGAGGAATTTAACTGTTGAGGCCAGCACACCCTGTACTTGATGCCGTCACCCGCCTGGAGTTTTGCGTAGTGGCTAAACATGGGGCTTGTGTACCGCGTCTGATTTAACCATATGTACTGCCGTAACGTCACACTCCAGCCGGCTGACGGCAGCAGTGCCGTGAATTGGTTCGACTGACATGGTTTTCCCCCTATATGTATTGCTTCCGAAGGTAGCGTAGATGTTTGTTGTCAAATTGGCATAGTACCGGTAGTCTTACAGTGTAAATATAGTTAATACATTGTCTATTATTACGCGTGAATGCAACGTCGAACGGATAATAGGAGTACGAGGCGATTTTTGCAGTTGTACATTCATATTTTTCGTACATTTACGCATTTTTGTCCTTTTTTACGCCGTATCGTATTTTTATTACAGTAATTAGTGTTCTGATGTCACTATTGCTCTTCCAGGAAGGACTTTGTAGAATCAATAAAACGCCAGCTTTTCAAAAAACGATTTGACGGGAAAGAAGGCTCGTTTTTAAAAACTATTATGTTGCAGGCGCTCCCTACCATTGCAAATCCATAGAAAACCACCCAGTATGGTAGAACCAAATTTTCGATCTAGTGTTTTCACTGCATCAAGTGTTAGAGCCATACAAGCTGCAGAAACACTGATACAAGTTTACGGAACCAGTGAAAAAGCACAAAACCCCAGCGGGCTGATTGAGCGTAATAACAGCACACAGCAATACCTTCGAGTTTCGACGTTTGTGACACGAGTACAACAAGTTCACAGCATTAGTGTAGAGTCAAAAGCATATCAAGTTCGGAAAAGTTTTATTGTCACCGTTTAGTATTGACTTTTATTTTTTATTATGCAATTTTATATACAGATTATATACAATATATATACAATATACAGATTTTTTATCATGCAATTTTTATTTCGAGAAAGACTAAAATCTACACCAATTGGTAAAATATGGAACCTGTAATTTTAAATGATTAAAGGAACACAATGAACACATACGATATTTACTATTCAGCATGGGATAATCACACATGTAATGATGGAAGCTCTAAAATGTTTGTCATTTGCGCTTGGGCTAGTGTGCGATACGCAGTTTTTAACAGACACGGTCTCCCGGCAACGACATTTCGGTTTGATTACAACTGACAATCGATCGCAGGCAATTTTCTCCCGGAACAAGTACAAATGATGGGGCGATTTCTCACTGGAATTTGTGCACGCAAGTAGACGGCAGACATGACACATACCGGTACGTCAATAATTCTTGTGACTATTGATCAGGAATCTGACCATGGGGTGCAGTCTCGCAACTCGTCCACATGCGTTTCATTTCATATGTTTTTGCTTGATCAGATCTCTCTGAAGGAAAACAGATGAAGTAATTAACTACAGGCAAAGAGCTACCTGCTGTCGTTACTGCCGTACCAGTTTACCCACCTGTTGGCGCCACGAAATGATGGACAGATATAACGCACAGCCTTTTGAGTGGCAGATAAATTCAACAAAATGTTCAGTGTCTTTATTTTTAGTAAACTTTAAATTTGCATTTTGCATTAGAACTCTAACTGTACAGTCGATACTGAACGGTTTCTGTTAGACAGACCCTTTGTGACCTTTCAAGAGCGAAATGTCTAATAACCTTCTCCAGCAGTATGGGCATTTTAACACGCCAGTATGGTATCAGGCACTACTGTACTGCATAGGCCTGCCGTTTTTGCTTCCCAGCGCTCCAGCACAAAAGCTAGCTTATGTTTGGTCATTTTTTCTTATTTTGGGCCAACTTTTTTTTACGTACGCCAACAGATTAATGATTGACCTTAAGAACGATTCTGCCGCCTTTTCAGGGCGTAACTTATTTAGTGTCGTTCAAATAACCGCTCGATATTTTGGTGCAATCTCCTCGTGTTTTATTGTAATTGCTACTTTTCATCAGCGGTGTCAGTACCGTGATTGCCTGCAGTATTTAGAGCAAGTAATATACCCGCTACTTGCAGACCGAGCGAGAGCTAAACGTTGTTGGTATATATCGCGAGCACTGGGAGCTCTAATTATCGGCTGTGCGTGGGTTGGAGAGTGGTTCGCAAGTTACGGCTTTCAGCAAGGATTCGCGGTCGGCAATCAGGAAGGGAATAAAACATTTATTTTTCTGATTATTTGGCATGAAATCCAAGTGCTGTCCACATACGCTGTTTTTAATCCAATATCAGTCGTGCAGACTATACTACAGTATTGTATCGTCGTGCTGCCCTATATTGAATTTATTACTTATGTGCAGCTAATCAAGTTCGTGTTATCTCGCTCTTTGAAAATTCTGGTGACCACGGAAAGGCATTTAACGAATACGCAGCTCAAACACGAATTAGATTTCTGTCGCCTTGCGTTCCAGTCCGTCCAGGACATCAGCCGTGGATTCCGCCATACAACATTACTAAGTACATGTCATCTGTATGTCTTTACCATTGCCATTTTGGGAATTTGGTTTTCGCACGATTTGGAGAACTTCAAGCTGGCCGATTTCGTTTTCGCCTATGTATTTCTTATTTGGTCTGTAATTATGTCCGTCTTCATGATAAATCTGAACAGTAAGGTATGAACATGGTAATTACAAGAAAAAGCGTATAGTAAATTAAAGTAAATATGCACCGGTTACCCTGCCGCGCATCCATGCGAGCCTATAACTGCAAGGAAGACGCATTTGTTAATGCTAAAACTAAATAACTGCCTTTGGACAGACTACTGACATCCTAAGCATGATTAAAAGGATTGGAAACAAAGAGTCGAACGATTCAGCGAGGAGAGAGCTTTGCCTGAAGCTCGTCCAAGATTATCCAAAAGTAATGATTTGTGCGGGTGAAGCTTTGCCCATGGACAACAGTTTCTTTGTCAGTGTAAGTTGTGTGAACACCTTGTAAGTATTTGCTCAAAAACCCTGATCAGCAAAAAGTGCGTGTACTTTACACTTCATTAGCCATCTCATGACTTTTTATATCTCGAGCCTTCAGTTTTACAAAGACAAATGTAATTTATTTATTCTAGCATAAACTAATTACAAGTGAATTTATGGGTAGAAAATGTTATTAATTTGCTATTGAAAGCACAGTTGTACACATGGTTATTAAAGGTGATGCCGTAATTAACGAAAGGGTGTAGACGCACCCATAGTACCTAATATGCGTTGTGTAAAATAATTTCACGTTTTGATTGCAGGTTTTCGGAGTAGTGGCGGGTTATGGAATTATCTTGCTGACGTTCGATCCAACAACGAAACACGAAGATTCCGCCATCACTGCCAACGGGAGCTTTGTTTAAGCTGCATATTGCGGTTATTCTTGTTTGTGTTACACTATCAGCAGCTGAACATTTGATCGTTATTTACTGGTGTTCGTCTGCTTTGTCTAAGTGAAGTAACGCTTCTTCCTGTTAGCTTTAACCAAAACCAAACCTTTCTAAACTCACTTTTTATTATCTGTCACTATCAAAAAAAATTCATTTATCTGTTTTCTGCTGTATCGTTTATCATGAGTATACTGTATACCATTTCAATTTCACTTGTTCATCATTTTAGTGTTTAATTGTATTTGAGTGCGTGGCTAAAGCGCTTTCATCACTGACTGTTTTACAAATGTAGTTGAAAGAAACGATTCAAGCTTAGTTAAAATTACTGAATACTCTGTGAAGGGATGGATACTCTGGATGAAGAAAAAACCGAAAAAAAGGTTTCCGCAATTTAATATTTAAAGGTGGTTCACTCAAACGACCATACGAGTAGTGACCAGTGGCTATGCAGGTGCGCCTGTCATTCATTTATAATCCATTCGCCACCAGCAGAATTTGTGAATGCCACACTAGCGCATAACTAAAGATATCAAGCTTAATCCTTCAGAACCGATATTTAATACTGTGTAATTTCGTATGGTCAACCAACAGGTTGTTGTAACGCTGTTCTTTTCTTGGATCTGTAATGAACATGTCGACACTCAACAGGCGGCAAAGGCTGCTAGCAGTCTCCGACCGCAGCATACTGTTCTTGTATTTTTGCCAGATGCGTACACACTCTGACGACCTTCCTGGCGTAGATGTCAGTTCTCTCGTATTCTGTCAGAGAGACACCTGATCCTGGTCTGCAGTACTCACGCGAACAAAAAATGTTAGGATAAATATTTTGGCGTTGATAAGATGTCCTGACATTAATAGAAATTTTCTATATTTGCAGTAACTGCCGCCGAAACTGTTTGCGCACCTTCCGACGCAATTGAGTGGTTGACCGCTACATCGTGCGGACTTTAAGTCCTGGACCTAATTCAACGGACTTAGTTTTTGCAGTTTTCGTTAAAATTTTATCATGGGAACCAATCCTATTTATCCTTAGCTTTTATATTCAAAAGCTGTAACCGGTTTTCTCTGTAAAAAAGTGCTAAAGCAAATTTTCGATTTGGCATTTGAACTTACAACATGTCGGGGCGTTTTTCTCCATGCGTAGACTAGTCCAAATGAGTAACGGGTTCGTGATATTTTAACCTTAACGAGAATAACATTTATGCACAATAAAGGCACAATCAGAAAATCATGATTAATTTAACGGGTCTGCATAAATGAAATGTAACTTACCAGGGCACGGTCAGAGAACCCCCCCCCCCCTCCGAAAAATTTCATTTTTTAGCTTGAAGATAGAGTAGGTATTGGGAATACTTAAAAAAGGATTTTCATCGGCAAGGTTCAGTGGGCGTGGCCAAATCAATGTACATATTTACGGCACTTGTGTATGGACAGTATGGTCACGTATTCAATCATTGCTGTTATTAATCGTACTGGTGAAAACTCTTATTTTAACCTTTCTTTCGTTAAAGTTCACTATTAAATAAGTGTCAGAATATCTCGCCGGTATTCGATTTGATTCGATTGCATTTGTTACCTCTGTTATTGTTCTTCTGTAAGCGTGCTGCACCACGCGCGCGCCAGTTTTGCCGCTGGTAAGTATAAAGACTTCACAAAACTTTTATGTTATTGTCAAGCTACTTATTTAATAGTGAACTTTAACGAAAGAAAGGTTAAAATAAGAGTTTTCACCAGTACGATTAATAACAGCAATGATTGGAATACGTGACCATACTGTCCTTACACAAGTGCCGTATGTGTTGCTAATACATTGGCAATACATACGACACTTAAAATTGATTTTGGCCACGCCCACTGAACCATTGCCGATGAAAATACTTTTTTAAGTATTCCCAATACCTACTCTAACTTCAAGCAAAAAATGAAATTTTTCGGAGGGGGGAGCCTCTGACCGTGCCCTGGTTAGTAAGATGTACTTTTCAAAATGTGCGAACAACAGACAAAAATGGGCGGCTTTTCATGCCGATTATTTTGGGTTTAGGGACCACTTTTATTTCGTAAACTCCGAAAAGGGACGGGGCGTTAATTTTGGGTTTCCCAGTGCGCCATTAGGTTAATAAGTGACTTCAGGAGCGATCATGCCACCTTCACAGAGCGAAATTTGTTTAGCTTCGAAATGTAAATCATCTGCTGTAGGTTAAAATCATCGGCTAAAAGACTGCTTTAGTCATTTTACGGGAAATGTAATATACAGTTTAATTTTCTGCGAGGGAATAACATGCAGTATAAGGCCAATGATTGAATTCATATTATGCATTGGTAAAGCGCCGTACCTAGAACTGAGTGTAGAATAATGATGTAGTGTGTGAGCACAGTGCACAGAATAGAGATGCTATAGACACAGTGTCGTATTTTAACCGGTACGTATTTTGAGTAAGAAGTATTCAGAAAAATTTTAACTACAAACTCTTAAGCTCTAAAGCATGACCTTTTTATCCCATGCGATTTGAACATTGGTTCATACAAATCACGGTAAATTATTAGATTATATCTTGTGAGCAATACCATGTACGTGTAGTACATACAATGGTGTGGTATCTTGCTCGCACTTTTACAAACTTCACGATCACCTTGAACGAAAATAAAAAAATTTACGGTGCTGATATACCGTGCGGTATCACCCTTAATACGAAAAATTTCTTATCGTTCATCATACCTCGATATACTTCGTCGATAAAACAATATGAGAGGGACGCTGTATTGCAGGTGGAAATACTGTAGCAGCCCGGCTACAAAGTATAACATTGCATTTCTGTTTTTGATGCACATCTAGACTTGCACATAAATGCTTCGGCATCGAATTCTTAAGTTAGGGAACGCTCATTCACCGACCATACATCAGTGAAATAGTTTTGGGCATTCCGGTTAACGCAAACTTATAACGGTACTACGGTACTAACTGTACTACACCGTCGCTGAATAGCATGTACAGTGTAAATATCGCACAAAAAAACAGTTCAATAAAAGATCCTGCTAGAACTCTGTATCATAAAATATAACACCTTTTGCTGCGCTCCACGTTTTGTTGCAGCGCAAAAAGTGTGTTCGTGTTCACACTTCACAGGTATCATACGGTGTTCACTCAGTGTTCAGTAATTAACGGTGTTCAGTATTAAGGCGATCATGATCTCGGTACGGCGGAGTCGGAGAACTTATTCGGTCGAACGTCTAACAAACAAAGTTCGCACCATGAGTTCGCTTGAATCCTTCTGGATTTACTGATGACTGCACACGCTTAACAACAGCGTTAATTCTTTTGACGTCCGTCCATGGTCGCTTCTCCGTAGATTTTAGTGTGAATCGCTGCATCGCGGATACCATTGTAAAAAAGATGATCATTTTGGCAAATCTCTCACCGCTGAAGATACGGCGACATAGGCACAGAGAGGTGCTGATAGCACAAGCATTTTCTGGTTCAAGTTTTTTGCGCAGTCTACTTGTTGCAAAGGGAAAACTATTAGGATTCCCTACACTTTCCACTGGAGTCCAGAAATCGTTCGGGCTGAAATATCCAGAAATCAGGTAATCCTGCTCCAAAAGTGAACGCCATAGTAATTTATGGTTAGAGGTGTGTCTGCAAATGGAGCAGAATAAATTTCTATTAGTCTATCTTTTCTTTAGCCTTTTTCTTTAAATTTTTTTCCAGCTTTCACTTAGACGGCTACGTAAAATTTGCTAAATCAGGTACAAAAAAGATTTCAGCTTTTCGTCTTTTCTGACCTTTTGGAGTTAGGTGGACGTTTAAGGTGACATCTGGTTGGATCTCCTGTTGCAATCCGTAAAACTGCAATTACCACCGTTGGCAGTTTTGACGTCTGCATCAACAATGAACAGTCTAACCTTCGTTTAGAACGGCTTTGTTATACGGAGAACGTTCCTGTCCGACCTACCCGGAATTTTGTCGGGACCGAAGTTGACGTCGATCTCTTCTTGGATTTTCTTCTGTATTTCGGGATGAGACGCGATTAGCAGCGCCCTCCATTAAAGAGCGGCCAGAGTGCCATCGAGTCCTGCTATAAATTATAATTAACAAGCAGTATATCTGTATGTATGGTCTTTCAGCGCGGAGTTCTAAGGCATCCAAATCGTAATACTTTTATTTTGGGTGACTGTTAGTATAGTGTTGCATGACGCTTTCTTTAGGTGGACAAATAAATTTAACGTCTTTTACGGTACTAGTATTAGGTACAATTTATGGCCATCAAAAGGTGGATGAATGAATGAAATCCCGCACATTCTCCGCATCAGGCTTAGTAATATCATCAGTTTCTTGAGACTTATACAAACTATTCTCTGCAGCCAGTCAGTCCTTTAAGTTAACACACGATAGTAAAGATACTGTACCCAGAACGCAGCATTTGTCTTCTGTCAAGCTGATTACGCGTAGTTTCCTTTCGTTTGTGTGAAAAAAATTTTTAAACTCATAAACATTTAAACACATAAAATGCATAAATAATTTACAAACGTTCCGTTGATATTATATTTTGGCAAGCTTCGATGTTGCTCAACTGCCTCCTCAGCTGCTCTGTTGCTGTTTACATCTGGAACAGTTGCTCACCACACTACGTGAGCTGCAGCGAGCAGCCGGGTATTGCTAAAGTCTGTGACTGTGACTGGGTGGGACTGGGTGGGACTGTGAGTCTATGTGACTGGGACCTTATGTGAGTGTGACCGTCTGTGACTGTGCCACACTGGGCGTGGGAATGATTGGGACTGTGACCTTTTGGGAGTGGGGCTAGTGGTTGTAGCAGTTCGCCAACCAACTGACCGGGCACTTCCGGTCAAATTTTTTAACTAGCTTTTTGTGTTAAAAGGCAGTACTTGCAAGCTTATTCTGTAAGGCAGTACTTCGTAAGGCTTTCTAGAAATCCCAAAGGATGGCATTCGTCGAAGAGAATATTTAATTTCCTTATAACATACAGAGTATAATAAAATTCAAAACCAAAATAACAGAAACCATAACTGCTACACGAACCATGACCGCTATCTAGGCAAACCGAACCGCTAGTACACTGGAACAGGGTACTGCGCAGGGAAAAACTGCCAAAAAAAAACAGTGCAGTAACCATTCAGAACTGGTGTTCAGCAATATTAATTCTCATCAACAGATTTTGAAAATACATGTTTTTTAAGATAACGTAACGAAGAAAATTTAAGCGAGGCAAAAAACCAAAAAATACCTGCAACTGGATCAATAACAAAGGAATACTGGCGTAATATCGAACCTTACGGAAATAAGAAGCTAACCGTTAATGAAAAATATTAAAAAATCGCAAAAATTGCTTGCTTGTGCTTTTCATCCAACTTTTCCTTCGTTTCTGCCGAGATTACGAAAGTTGCAGATTTCAAAGCGGGCGTGTTCACGCTGTTAGTTGCTGCAACAATGCACCCATTATTAGCATGGCAGTAGACGTTTGACGGCTTTCCCTGTCGTTGAACACCGTTGCGGGGGTATATTCTAGTGCCCACTGACACAAACATCAAATCATTTGGTGAATCAGGTTTAATGTGGGGCTGTTTGCGAAAGTTCCTTCGACATCCGCTGCACTTGGTTGTTTGAGAACTGCAATCCTCTAGCAGCCATAATTCATATTCGCCCGGTTGTGGCTTCGGTTTGTCAGCCAAATTACGAACCAACACGAAATCCCAAATCTTTTCCATGGATTTCTTTTTAAACGACTCTCGGTCAACAGGAAGAGCCTCTGAAATTGTACGGTTTACATTATGTGGGTACAGAGCAGCAAGGTTAGTTATTGTAAAAGCTTTGTTATAACAAATCAGTTATTTAATTTATGCCTGTAAGCTAGACACAAACAATAACGATAAATTTTAGTTAATGGTTGCTTATATTTGGTACGAAATTGTATATCTATCTTGTAAAATAATACGTTGTATTTGTCTCTTGCCACACATATATGTAATTACAAATCCCACCTTGCTCTTCCACACCTTCCTCATCAACTGTAGTCAGTTCAACTCTGCGCTTACGGCAAGCAGTAGAGCTAGTGCTTGCAAAGGACGAGTCATCGGCAAGCGGTTGAATTGACAGTAGGCTGACTGGTGGTGGCCTTCGGAGCTTCGCACCTTTGCGAATACCGGTGCCATGGAGTTTTTTCCCTGCATCAGCTGGAGCACTGAGGTCAATCGCACGATGTAAGCCGAACCGATTTCCAAATCGCACATCGTTCGAATTCGCCCAGGTAACTAACGTGTCTAAGGATTGCGTATGAATGGCCACAGCAAATATGTCTGGGCAAATACCAAATGTTACATAGTGGCTGCAGGTTTTGTCGCACTCGATTCGGTTCAGGTTTCCGTCCAGCGTCACTGTTAGCAACTGCCCGGGTTTATGACCGCACACGAGAAATCGGTTTCCATTGCTGCCAGGTGCTAGGACTATGGGATTGGGTTTTTGCAGTAACACATCGGCTTTTTCAAGCATAGATGCCAAAAGGTCACGACTAAACGTTTTGATCTGCCCGACTGCTTCGCCGTGCGGATGGCTGCAAGATTAGTAGTTATTATGTTATGTGTTAATAAGCAGATTTAGTTACGAGTGGTAATAGTATAATAGTATAATAGGGGTTTACTCATGTGGTTATAATAGTGGTTTAGTTGTAGTACAGTAGGTGCTGGCTGTGGGCACGGGAATTCTGCACGGGATTTGGCTTCGTGCACGGGTAAATTATTTAAATTTCTAAATTTAAACCTTGTATTTTAATTTAAATTTTTTTTACTTAATTAAAATGAAATCTTACTCACTTGACCCATAATTTTTCAACAAAAATACAGTAAAGTACTTGAAAAACTGCGAAATTATAATTGCTCTACTATATAATCCGCCAATGCTTTGCATTTAACATTACCGTGAAGCACTTGCAAGTCATAGTAAAAAGAATAGAAGGCGTGAGAATTTCTCTAATATTTTCAACAAGAATTTATGTAATGGAGCCATTTCTATGTAACACAGCCACCTGAGCCACGTGGGAATTTCTGTAGTATACTCATGGCTAGCGGTTTCGGGATGCACCTGGAACTTGTAAGCAAGGTCTGATGCAAAAGTACTTGATGGCCGTTGGGAAACTATAAACGTTACGATCAAAAGGCGAAAATCATAAAAAAATTAAAAAAATCCGTCTACACCCGTGCGGACCCAAAAAGGTCACCCGTGTCCGAACTCAGTGCACGTATCTAAATCCCGTGCAAACACCCGTGCACGCAGCATGGACCAAATAATTAAGTACCATAAACCACTACGCTTACAGAAGCGAAATAATGTAACAAGATCGTGTTTATCACTGACCATGTCAAGCGATCTGGCGCTTCGTCTCCGTTTTCCGGTTGGCTGTCAGCCTTCTCGATGCTGAATGGTTCACGGTGAATACCCTTCTTAAAAGCCCGCTTTTGAAATTCGGATGTTGGGAGTAATTCTTTGAAGTCCGCTTCCAAGTGCTTGTACGCAGGAATTATTTCGTACAAACCGGATTTAATTGTGGCATATTCGAACTCTTGAAGATCTTTTTTCGCAAAGATTTCCATATCTTTCACAAAACGATTAATGCCCCTCAAGCTGTTAAACCCTTTCTTAATTCTTTTGTTCGCACTTTCAACGGCGTTCTGGTTGTAATATCCGGCGCCGACATTTGCCGCTTTACGTGCTGCAGCCTGGCAAGTATAACATGCAGCTTTATTAATAATAATATAGCTTAATAAAAATAATATGCTATAAAAACTGAAATATTAAGCAGTATTTTTGCGGTTAAAAAGTATGAGTAAACAAGCAGTGCAAAACGAATTACTATCGATACTATTTTACGAGTGAAGTGGTCAGTAAACGTTTGATTGAGTAGTTCGTCGCCTTACCGAATAACGTTCCTGAAATAAGGGTGCTTTGCTTTTGAAAAAGTATTCTGCCAGCTTGGGCCCGTTAGCATGCATTGCTCCCAACGTTAAGCGTAGCTGCTCTCCAGCTTTTTCGTAATCTTCCGGTGTTTCGCAGTCAATATACCCCGGTACTCTTTGGTCTCCGACAACACGCCCAAAAACAAGCGCGAGCACCTGGTCCTTGACATTCGACATTTTAAAGTCTTCCGCTTTTCGACTGATGTTGTCAATTGCGTGGATGATACAAAGAATATGTGGTACAGTTGAAAAAATTGTCTGGAATGCGCCATAAAGTGCCCGCAAAAATTTGCTCAAATGTTGTTAAATTACAAGGTAGCCTCCTGCTTTCGGCGGTACAATGCTTATCGACCGAAGCGAAGCGAAGGTCCTCTATGTTCAAGGAAACTGGAATTTTGTCTGTCCGTCGGTCACGCACAAATTTATCCGTCGGTCACAAAAAATTATAAAATTAAAATAAAACAAATACAAATAAAAATTAAATAATTGTATTTAAAAATTATCGTCTCTGTTGTATGAATGTGAGTGTTATATAAAACATTCAGTAAGACCTATAAGAACAGCAATACGGCGCTTTTTTGGTTGTCGGTCTCGCACTAAACCGCTGAATATCCAGAACGTAATATTTTGGGTATTATCATGAGTTTTTGTTATACTGTAGATACGTACAGGGGTATTTCATAGATTAATAATCAATAATAAGGTCACGTGAAGAATAATAATAAGGGTAAATTCAATACTAAGAAGCGTGAAGGTCACGTTTTTGTTGGCTTTACTGACCATACCAGTTCTTAAATTCCTTTTTAAAAAGCAAAAAAAAAGGTATACAAGCGAAAAACGGTAGGGTAAACATGGAGGTTAACAAAGAGAACAAGACAGGATCTTTCTGTAGGTGTGGTTGTGACTTCCGCCAGTCCAAACAAACGATGAAGTACAAAAATTCTCGAAGATCGAAGTCACAACGAAAATGCCTTAACACTCGCCCTCGGCCATGTGCGAATAGCCTCAACGGGGGGAAAAGCGGTGACATTACAAAGGTGGTGTCAGGGTGGTGAGAATAGCTATTTCCTAATACTGTATTTAATTCGAAATAAATACTTAATCAACATAAACATTACGTATTTGTCAACATTAATCAACATAAAAATTAATAACATCAATGTTTTAATGTTTAAATTTTGATGGCTATTGCGTATTAAAACCACATAATAATAACCTAAGTATTTTTGAACAAATCTCAGTTTCCGGCTTCGTTTCGGTCTAATAGTGCTAGCCAGAAGCGGTGCACTTCCCTAGTATATTTGGCAAGTAATGCTACTGAATGTCGGGGATGAAATTACAATAGTTTACTACGACCACTGGCAATTTGCACTCAAATCTGTTTCTTAATTTTTCATTGGGAATATTACGTGTAATACTTACATATATGCAACCCACGTTCAATGTAAGCACACGTAAAAATATATGTACTTGTAAATAATATACTGCAAGCATAAAAACCTTCTACTTAAACATTCGCTTACTTTATCGCCGTCGGTTCCAAGAAACTTTGCCTTGGTAAGCTGGGGCCTGACATTTAAAAGCATAGCGGCCATCCGCTGATACGCTTCTCCCGTCTTTCTCTTGTGGATAAAGGTGACACCAATTATGACAGAACTGACCCGAGTTGTACGGTTGCGCAACATCAGGTGGCGCGTCACGACGGTGGTAACGTAGTATTCGCCCACATTAAATGTAGTATCCACAGAAATTCCTGCAGCTGGTGCGAACCGCACTAGGTCGTCTAGCTGCGTGTCTAGAGCCAGCATCACAATGAGATCCGGTGCAATAACCACTTCGCGTACGAACGCAGAACTTTTGCCGTGATTATCCATACAGGCCAGAATAACCGCGTTTAACTCCTCGTCTTTGGTCGGTTTTTGGGCTGCTTTGAAGTTGTAAATCGATTTGTGAGACGGAATTTGGGCAGTCGAAGCTAGATTCTCAATTGGACCGACTTCCTCCAAAATGTCAGCGCGAATAGTCGAAGCGTCTTTTCCACTTTCTAATTAAATATAGAAAATTTTGTGATGTTGCCTAGCATTTTAAAAATTCTGTAGTCATAGCTAATATATCAAATATAAATAATATAATAACGTTAGTATACAATAAAGTTAAACAATTTGCTTACCACAACCCTTTTTAATCTTTTCTTTCGTGGATTCATACATTCGTTCATAAGGTTTTCCGGTTCGCTCTTTTCCGTGGCTGGTAATGGCGAACGATTTGTCTTCTTTATCGGAAAAGTAATATTGTAGGACAGCAAATCCCAGCTCGCGACAAAACACAGTCACGCGTTTGAAGGTCGGTTCACTGAAGTTTGTATAGGTGAAACGGCGAAACTCCGTTCCCTCCGCTTCGTTCTAAAATATAATGTTTTAAGCATTAAGCGGCTAGGTTCACGGATGACCTTTTGAAATCCGCATGGGATAGAGGGATGGTTTACGATGAAGCGTTATAATTTATTGGTGAAGTCTGCTCATGCCACCTTTGGCTGCTAGTACCACCTTTTGCACACCAATTTTAACTTTAAGGCTTGCAAAAATAATTATTCTGCCTAAAGTATTCTAGGAAGCGTAGCGCACTGCCTGTTCATGTTTTTTTTTACTAACCGATGTATATACATCCGATCCGCTCCATCGGTAGAAATGAATGGTCTTCCCATTGCTTTGCTCCCATCGACCGTTGCTGTCCGATAACACATCTCCCGGACTTGCCAAACACGACAATTTGATAACAAAAAGTGATGTCCGCTGCACTTGATGTGGGACTCTGGTGGCCACTTTCACACCACGTTTCTGTTTCTTCGCTTTAAAAATCAGCTCGGCTGCGTAAAGGTTCGTAATGAACGAGAGGTGCTTGGTGCTGATTACGAAAGACAAAGATAAGAAACCGAAAACAAGTGCGCTGGTTGGCTTCCGATGTTTCCTTCAGCCGGTCTTCTCTGAGTCGCCTGCATAGTTCCAATCCTTCTCTCACAGAGAAAACGAGAGGGTCAAGACCAGATCACACCTACGTGCGACAGCCTAGGAATTTGAAAGGCTTTTGTTTGTTGATGTTTGCCGCATACGAATAATGCCGCTCTGTGCCCTAAAGTGGCAGACACTAGGCAGACACACAAGAACGCAGCAGAGGGATACCGCATACTCAGTGGTCGATCACGCTGGACGCTACACAAACTTTTCCCGAATAGGCTAAAATAATGTGTACGAGGAGGGGGTAAATATACGGGATAGACGGAAAAAACGGCAATAACAAGGGATAACCATGCCCGGTTCGTGCAACACGGCCAGCCACCAATGAAAGGCAGTTCAGTGACATCACGCAGAATAGCCGTTGATGCTCGGGTTTCGATTTCTCCGTAGACTTCTATGTTGAACTCAAATATAAGCGTCTCGCACATTTCAGAATCAAACCGTACAGTCTATATACGAAAAGAACAAGAAAAAATTAACAAGATTTTCGATACCAAGCAAGCCGTTATCTATGAAAACTGAAACAAGTTTGAGCCATTTGAGTTTCTCGCAGACTAAGCGCAGGAGCTGAATGGTTAGGTTCCAGTTCCACGCAGATCCTATGCTTTGCCTATGGGAAACCTTATTGGCTCTAACTTGTCGTATTCCTCATTGAAAATGGCTTCCTTGGTATCAAAAATCTTGAAAATTTTTTCTTGTTCTTTTGAGATATAGACTGTACGGTTTAATTCTGAAATGTGCAAGGCGCTGGTGTTTTAGTATAACATAGAAGTCTACGGAGGAGACACCTGCAGAAGGCAGCATTTTGTGACGTGTCTCCGGACTGCCTTCCCTTGGTGGCTGGCCGTGTTGCACAACAAGTGAATGGTTATCCCTTATTATTGCCGTTTTTTTCGTCTATCCCGTATATTTACCCCCTCCTCGTAGTGATACACATTTTTTATAGTGATACATGTGTAGCGTGTATTTTTAATTGACCAAGTGTGCAAGATAAAAGAACTTCAGAACCATTTAAAAAAGTGAAGGAGGGGTCTGCTGAAGATAAATAAAAGAATCATTAACCCGGCAGTGCTCGGACTATCAAGGAATTTTTTGTTAGAGCTCAAATTGAAACTGTAAGATAACAAAAATGTGATGATCTTAACCTATTTTTTTGAAATTTTTTCAAACAGTAGTTTAAAATTTAAACGGTAGGTGAAAATTTCACCAGTTGGGCATTGATGGTGGTCGATTCCTACGGTCTGGATAAGGTGGTTGCCGGCGCGACAGAGCGAAAAAGCGCTTGCGATACATTTCCTGGGAATGTAATTCCTTTGAATCAACTTGCACTCAGTAGCTAGTTGATACAGGTAGCCTATGGTGTTTAAGATTTTGCGTTTCGCAGCGTCTCTGAATTATTAAAAAAATCTTTCTAAATGCCGGTCAGTATGTTACAGGACCAGAATGGTTTGCGCCATTTCACATATCCGCAAAACATCGCTGCCATAATTACGCCTAATTACCAAGGAACAATGAAGCTAGGTACACATGTCCAACAAAAGAAGCAAATATAGTAGTACTGACAACCACTCGTGATTTCTCAAAGAGGATGTGGCAGAACTTATTGGAATCAATACACGGACAGACACGGTTTATTACGCAACGCAGGACGTGCTTGGCCTGCTATCATAAAAACTTTCAAAGCCAGAAAAACTTTCGTGTCCCAAATTACTCAAAACATAGTCGCATTTCCACATCTACCTATATATATAAGCCTGTTACACCGAACAACTGTCCATAATTCAAATTTTTTTAAAAATTTAAAAGAACAATTGCTGTTTACCGGCATCGGCTTAATTTCTTCCGACCATGGAGAAAGCTATCGCGGAGCTTAAAGCGGCGTTCACTGACAACAAGTAAGTACCGACTACGGTTACACATACGCTTTAAAATGTGCGAAAAAAATAAGTACTTCACTAACTTAAAAGATATATTGTATACTAATATATGTAGGCGTGTGAACGCGTTGCCTCTTGTAAAACATACATACCGAATAAAGTTATTTATATAATACTCGGTATATCGTAATACTTGTAGCCCACCTATCGTTAGCAAAAAATCAATTTTGAATAACTGGACAGTATGACCTTTTCGTTCTTAATTTCCATACAGGTTGGAAATGCCCGCAACGTTGCCAAAATTTATTGTTCGAGCTGCCGGAGATAAGAAGGGCAACGTTGCGCGTCATCGAGTGTATACTGCACTAAGCCAGCATATGCAGGTTTTAACGAAATTATTATTATAACGGAACTGCTATCTGAAAACAGTGCTGAATCGTGCACCACTGCCAAATGATTTGGCATTGAAAGCAAACTGTTTCTGGTTACACAAAATCACCGCATCTTACTGAAGTCTGCTGTGTTTGTTAGATCATATTGCTCCGTTTGCTCCGTTTCCTATAACAGGCGAGCAAAACAGGGTAATAAAATCAAAGAATTGCTCCCTACTAATTGTTTGCTTTGATTGCGTTAATTAGTTTTACACGAGTCAGCTGGCATCGGCATAGCTTTGACCAGCGGGCAGCCGCCAGATAACAAGAATTGAGCGGAGCTGGTTATTCTGTCTGTACAGGCAGCCGTTACCGTTCTCCTTCAATGCCCAAGTGGTGCAATTTTCACCTATGGTTTTCAAAAATTCTCTGAACGTTCTCCACAAAAAAAATATTTGTTCAAACTGGTGGAACTTTATCATGTGGATACAACGCTACGACTGATTAAATTTCAATTTTTTCGCATTACATACGATTCAGTTTCACTTCGTAGAACTTTTCGATAATTTTGCAACGTTTTTTAAGCAATATGTTTTTTTTCTGGTGTGTTTTAACAAAAAACTAAAATACTGTGTGGAAAGAGCAAAACGCTTTATCTAATGAATATTTTGTTGTGTTGATAACAATTGTGCTAATTATGCAAAAATTGGCGAACTTTACTGGTGCTTTTTTCACCTAGCAGACGCTGCCGAGTTAATGCTACTTTTGACTATTTTTCTTGGAATTTCTAGAATGCCGTACGAAGCACTGCCTTACAGAATAAGCTTGCATACTGCCTTTTAACACAAAAAGCTAGTTAAAAAATTTGACCGGAAGTGCCCGGTCAGTTGGTTGGCGAACTGCTACAACCACTAGCCCCACTCCCAAAAGGTTACAGTCCCAATCATCCCCACGCCCAGTGTGGCACAGTCACAGACGGTCACACTCACATAAGGTCCCAGTCACATAGACTCACAGTCCCACCCAGTCACAGTCACAGACTTTAGCAATACCCCGAGCGGCCATGGTCATGTGACAATGCGCGCTTACTTTATAGCTCGGCAAACTGAAACAAGTACTGTAGTAGAATGGTTGAACCTTTAACTGCTGTACATCACTGTATATTATCAACCAGAAGCCTGCCAAGAGCGATGTTGAAATTGCACGAATACAATGAGGAAGTACAACTGAAAGCTGAACAAATCCCCGGCGGGCAGGTAGAGCGAGATGGCGTTATGAAATAACCATGCTACGTTAGTGATGTAACAGGTAGCACGGTACCATTATAGCAGCGCTGACTAATATTTAAACAACGAATTCGAATGCTTTACTGGTCACAACGATCGTTGAAAAATTTACAGTTCCGCCGCGCAGCTTATTAAAATGCCTCGAATTTCAGTTGTATTTTTTTCTTGCGTTGTTTTGATTACGTGGACTGTTGCAACAGCCACTGCGGACCACGAAACCGCAGCAGGCATTGCGTCGCAAGCCATGAAAAACTCAACCTCGGCGGGAAACACATCCAACGCCACCACACCGGTCAAGCCGCCCAATGTACAAAGCAGATTTGTGATTCTAGATCCATCAAATATGCCGAAATTTAAAGGCTGATTCTGCATGGCACTGGATTTGTATTACAAGATGTTTTGCCGGATCCCTAAAGATTA